ATTTCTAACACTTCATGATATGAAGAGCAAATACACTCATTTGTAACCCCTGGAGAGAGGAAGTGACACTGTCACTTGAAGTGGCTCTGAAGTGGCTGATTTGGTAGTCAGCTCTTATTCAGGCTATAGAAGGGCAGGACCAAGGCAGGAACCCAATGGGGAAGATGCGGGAGGGACTGTGGCCCTCCACCAGGCAGGATGAGGAGGTGGTGTGGCTTCCTAGCAATGGTGGCCTCCATGCCTGCAGCCCGGGAAACTGGCAGACACACAGGGAGAAACACTTGCTTGGCTGGAACCGCTCATGGCTTCCAGGGAAGAAATAAAAATACTACTCACAACTCGACGTTCACACCCCGACCTGAGCACCAGGGTCTCGCTGAGGGTCGCGCACCACACTTCTCATCTGCCTTCCTTGTCAAACTCCCCCCGAGGGCTGGGGTGAGGTGGGCTGTGTTTTCTTAATGTAGTCAYGATAGTGTGTTCCCGATTTGAATTTTTGTAGCTTGGTGTCTTAAACCATTTTGTGCTGCCAAAACCAATGCATGGTAACAGAAAGCAAGTCGGAGTTGCCCTGGAGATGGAAAGAGGGAAGACTGCAGAGGGGCATGAAGAAATTTCTAGAGAGTGGGATATTCCATTATGTTGATCATGCATGTAGCATGCTTGTGATATACTTTATATCACAAGTATATATATATAATTTATATTTATAGCAGGCTTGTTTTATACTTTAATGTGTTCAACTTAATGGCATGTCATTTATACCTTAATAAAGCTGTTTATAAGAAAAAATCACTAAGACACTTTAGTGGTGGGAGCTCCTTTCCATCCTTTCTAGTAAAACCTCTGTCTCCAGGACACAGTGGCCCCTTTCTGGCCCAAGCCCGTGACTTTGTCTCTGCCCTTGGTTTACCTGACCTCTCATCAGCACTTGACTCTGTTGATCACCTCTTCCTTCCAGAAACATTTTCTTCTCCCTGTGCCTTAACAGTACTCTTTTTGTTTTTGCCTGCTGTTTCTGGTGGCCCTGTGACGAGTGACAACTGGTGGTGGAGTTGGAGCCTTGATCTTCAGCCTTCTTTTCCTTTCCATTCACACTTATCTCCAAGGCTGCTCCTAGCCCTGCTATTTAAACCATCATCATCATCTGGGCTGGCCAATAGAATTTTCTGTGATAATGGAAGTATTCTATATCTGCCTTTTCCAATGTGGCTATTGTGGCTATGACATGCTTGGTATGTGGCTAGTGTGACTAATAAAATGAACTTTAATTTTTACTGAATTTGAAAATTTCAGTTTCAAAGCTACATGAGGTTAGTGTAGCAAACAGTCCAGGTCTAGATTAATGTGTGTTTACAATCTCTAGGTGGCAACTCATTATCTGGTCTTGACCTGTATTTTTTTCCAAAATAAAATAAGAAAAGTTATAATTTTTCATGAAACCCTTGTTTCAGTCTTGAAATCTCTAAGCATCACAAGTAGTATGTTTGTTTGTTTGTTTGTTTGTTTGTTTGTTTTTAACTTGAAAGCCACTGACTTGGATGCTGGTGATGTCCATATTTATGTTTTGGCCACGGGCTGAGACTCTAAATCCTATTTACCTGTCTTCTTGTCATCTCAGCACAAATCTGTAAACCTGTTGCTTTTGTCTCTCCAGTTTCAGCAAACTGCACCCTCCTCCCATCCCAATGCTGAAGAACAATCACCTTCATTTCTGTCTTTCCTGTCCTCTTTCCCCACTGCACTGTACCCCAACATTCCATCCAGCAGCAAGGCACATTGGTTCCACCTCCAACATGGACCAAGCCTGCCCATGATTTCCATCAGTGTGCTCTAAGCCACCTGCAGCTTTTCAGTGATGGAGAGTGCTTTTGAGTGATAGGAACCAAGTAATATGAACCATTTTTGATTACAGATCCTTGAGTCTTCCTTGAGCATCATCTGTAACCAACAGCATCATCTGTAACCATCTGTAACCTTGTCTGCTAGGGGTGTTGTCACGTTTCTATATGGAGACTAAGTATTGGTCTTGTATTTTTTAACTCATTCAGCTGAATACCAAGAAGTGCAAATTTAATGAACAGTATAAATATGCACATCATGCGCAGTGCAGTATATTAAGATATAGACATATARTTAATTGATATAAAATTTAAATGAGAGTTTTCCATTAATATTAGTACATCATAAACATAAGACAGATCTTATCATTTATTTAAACTTTTTAACCTCTGAGATTTATGCATATCATGACAAATTTTTAAGAAAATTTKAATTTGATTTAAATTACCAAATCACTTTCGTCTTGAAGAGAATGTCTATAGTTTGAATACATTATTCCTTATGTGATTTTAGTGTCTACTTTATGAAAAGCATGTTATTAAAATAGTGCAAAAAATTATCAGAGTTGCTAATAAAACAAATAACAGGGCTTGTGATTCTGACCTTGGTTTTTAAAAAAAAAACTCAAACAAAAAACAAAGAAAGGAAATTATAGTTAACTACTGAAACTCTTTGCAGTAGTCATTTGCAGAACACATTTTAAAAGCAAAAAAAAATTGAAATTATATACTCAGGATATTGTATATCAGTTGGTTAAATCACATAGTAAAGGAAATAATAAGGAAGACTTTAACTTTTCAAAATGAAAATTAAAAGTAGGGCTGGGGATGTGGCTCAAGTGGTAGCGCTCTTGCTGGAGATGTGGCTCAAGTGGTAGCGCTCTTGCCTGGTATGTGTGGGGCACTGGGTTCAATCCTCAACACCACATAAAAACAAAAATAAAAAATAAAGATATTGTATCCACCTAAAAAAAACTAAAAAATAAATATTTAAAAAATGGGAAAATATCACAATAGTCAAGCTATGGGATCAACATAGATGCCCTTTAAGAGATGAATGGATAAAGAAAATGTGGTGTATTCACACAATGGAATATTACTCAGCCATAAGGAAAAATGAAATTGTGGCACTTGCTGGTAAATGGATAGAACTGGAGACTATTATGCTAAGTGAAGTAAGACAGTCCCCCAAARCCAAAGGCCAAATGTTCTCTCCGATATGTGGATGCAAACCCATAGCAAGGAAGGGTAGGGAGAGGAAGAACAGAAGTTCATTGGATTAGACAAATGGGAATGAAGGGAAAGAAGAGGAATGGGAATAGGAAAGACAGTAGAATGAATCTGACATAACATTCCTATGTTCATATATGAATATATCACCAGTGTAACTCCATATCATAAAAAATAAAAATGGGAAAATATAACATTATTTCACCCATGAAAATCCTTTAAATTAGATAGGCAGTGTTCAGAAAATTGAAATAACCATATATATATATATATTTTTTTTTTTTTTTTTGGTCTGTTCAAGGTTGGAGATGGTGGGGATTAAAGGATAGTTCTCCAAAGGGAAAGTCCACCTGCAGACAAAGACTCACACATAAGTGAGTTGTACCATTGTTCATGAAAAGCCAGGAACCATCCAGAGCTCCAAGGGTGGGAATTAAGCAGACTGAACCACGTCCCTACAACAAAGACTGTATAACCACTAACACTAACCTTGAGAGAGCCTGTTTAATGTTGTGGGGAAAAGCTTCTGACATAACACTAAGTGGGAAGAAAGGATGTGGTTACACAGTATGATCTTAATKAAGTAAAAACAATATCCATGAGGAAAACTTGTTCCTAGTGGTTAATTCTAAGGAGTACATCATTGCTGATTTGTATTTTCCAARTTTTTTAGAAAAAGCACATATTACTTTCATAATGGCAAAAAGACTATTAAAAACAAATTGTGTCAGACAAATGTTAACTACTTAAGTTTATGGGGGCTTGGAGCTGGAGAGCAGTGCAGGGCTCATTTGGTCTCGGGGCTCATGGCCGGGCTGCACTGGAGCAGGGAGATGGCTGGGAGCTGGGTCTGGAGCACCTGGAGGGACCACAGGGTTTCTCAATGGGGGCCCCTGTGAGCTCAGTTCACTACCTGTTACTTGCTGATCAGAAAGTCAGACATCGGCTGTCAGCTCTGTCTTTGACAAATATAAAATAGGAAGAGGAGGGAATCATTAACTAATACATGTGACTTATTTAATAGCTTATTTAAAACACGAGGCAACAGTAACAGACTCCTGATGTCATAAAGTGGGACCATTCTAKATGGTTTTTCATTCTTTGGGCTCTGATCCCTTTGTAGGTTATGGAATCATCTTAGTGGCTCATCCAGCATTCCTTTGTAAATAAAATTAGAATAAAATAGAAAAAAAATCGGAGAATAGAAAATAGGCCTTGCATATATCGAGTTCCGTAAATTTTAATCTCAGGTATGTGTAGTTACTGGATGGTTGTTGTTTCCTCCTCCTCCTCCTCCTCCTAATATTTTTTAGTTGTATTTGGACACAATACCTATATTTTATTTATTTATGTCTAGGTGGTGCTGAGGATCGAATCCAGGGCCTCTCACACACTACACAAACGCTTTACTGCTAAGCCACAACCCCACAGCCCTAAAATGTGATTTTTTTTTTTTGTTTGCCTATGATTTGCATTCAAAAAAGTGGACTCTTCCTATGWTCTAGACCAGTGGCTCTCAGGGTGTTCCTAGGCCCAGCAGTGCCAGCATCACTCGAGAGCTTGTCAGAAATGCAGAGGCACCAACCTGCACCTATTCAATCAAAAGCTACAAGACGCCCAGGTGATGCATATGTACCCAGTGAAGTCGAGGAACACCAAAACCACGCATGCTCCCCGAGGCCCCAGGTAGCATCAGTGAGTGGACACAGCCTGCCTTCCTCCTGGAAGAGAGCAGAGAGGGAGAAAGAAGGCTTCCAAGAAGTTCAAGTGCTCTTCCTTTGTTTAAAAATATAACTCTGTTCTACACAGAGTTCACCCCAAATTGATCAACTAAATGAACTGCGGTTAACACCAACTACATTCAGCAGCTTTTTAAACACACTTTTTAATAGTGCGACTTCTCATGCGAACTTCTTTGATCTCTTTTAGGAATTTATCGCAGAGCTGCTCTCCCGGATAAGAGGCATGAGGAAACTCAGCCCTCCACAGAAGAAGAGCATATGATTCTGGAACAGGGTAGAACTGTCTCAGAGACAAAGTGTCCTGGGATTTGGACTTCATGAAGACTTTTATTAAACAATATTTGTCCTTATGAACAACTTTTTTTTTTTTTGGTGTGTGGGGAGGGAATCTATTAGACATTTATTCAAGAGTGTTCATTTTTGTTCTTGTTGTTTTAAAGGTTTTCTTTAGTGTAATATTTTAATAGCAAAGATATCATGACTCTTGACTGCAGCCCTACTGAGGATCCTCAAAGCAGGGGGACTTCCAAGGGTGGGCCAGGACAGGCAGTGTTTTCTTCAAGGACTCAGATGTTTAGTACTTTACTAGGCAGGGAAGGTGGCTTTCTTATAACCAGTTTGGTAATGTTTTTTTCTTAAGTTGTACATGTGACTCAGATGTCAAATTTCCTGTACTTGTATATATATCTACACACGACTAAGTTAAAATGTAGATGTGAGTTTTATTTCACATGGATGGAACAAACTTGTGGTCATCCTTTCATGGGAGGTCACAGCACATGTATTTCCAAGAGGCCATTGGGCATTCTTCATGTGAGTGCTGTTGACCTTCGACCTTCACTTTCTGCACCAAAGTGGAAGAATCTAGTGTATCCATTATTCTAATGTGCTACACTATGAAAACGTGGAGTTGGTCAAGGGCTTAATTTGTGGACTTTATATGATTTCATTGGTCAGGACGCTTTGCCAGGTCATATGCTTATTGCCTCATTTGTGGTTGTTTAAAGTTTTATGAACCCCTCATTTGAAGAGCTAACCTGATTTCTAGAGAAATGCCCACRCTGTCTGAGTGGTGTTTTGTAATGGAAAAAGGAAGCACTGTGTAGCAATGAGTTCTCTGCTTTCCACCAAATACTGTGTGTGATTCCCTCTTCTGGAAAGCAGGTCAAAAGGAAGTTAGCAGATTGAGCTGTCCAACTCCCTAGAAATGAACTCTGGGTCCCTCTGTGCCTTGTAACATCAGACCAGAGGTGGGTTAAGAAAGTGCTGAGGGAGTGTGGAGACAGCAGGGCCTCACCGTCTCTCAAGAAAGTTGCATTTTTGGCTTTACTCAGTGGCTCATGACGAGAACTCTGRAGTCTCCTGGCCCTAAGAATGACCTGGATCTCAAGCCTGGAGCTAGACCCGAGCACCTGCCCTGCACCTTCAGTTACTTACCAGCTCATTGGAGTAGAATTATAATTCATAGGGGATGTGGGTGGGGTAAAAGGTGACAGTAGAAACCCTTCCCTCCAGGAGGCCCCTGCGGCCTYCCCATGAAACCCCACCTGCTGTAAGATGTCTCCAGGTAGCCCTGTCTGAGGACAGGGACCAGGCATTTTATATCAAGGGTGCTCTGAACATATTTTATTTTTTAAAAAGAACAATGTTTGTGAATTCTACGTATACTGGCAAGCTTTTGAAAATGTATTTAATTTTGTAATGTTTACCAATGATTTATTTACAARCTATTTACTCAAATAAATGGAGCTGCTTACAAACCTCATATGCCTTGCAGAATTTATTAACATGGTGATTTCACTTTGTCCGGTTATCTGCAGATGACGGCACCTACTGTCTATATATCTAGCTTTAAGTTTTGAGCCGTATTTGCGGGCAGGTATTCCTAGCTTATTCCTGGGGCCTCTTCAGATCAGGGGTGGAAACAAAGGACCCAGACACACTCTTAGCCTGGCAGCCTTCTGCTCCAGCACTCACCTAGGCCAGACCCTGTTCATTTTATGAAAACTTCCCTTTGTCATCTCAGAAAAATCCTCAAGAAGATTTCAAATTGAAAAAACATATTCCAAATATTGTCATAATGCCATGGGTGGTATAAAAAAATTGCAGGGTTTCTGTTAAGCTTGACAGCCCAGATTATGGTCTTCCAGTGAAGCAAGAATGGACTCTGGTGCCCCCATGCACCMCCACCTTMCTCCCTTCACTTGCTCAGGCCACCAGCATCACTGCTCCCCAGAGTGCCCCTGCTAGAAGCTACCCCCTGCCCTAACTCCCCACCCTCCCCACACACCCCACTCACCTGTCTTGTCCTCTGCCAATACCTCTCAGGCGGCCCTCTACACTGGCTTCTCCACGTCCTTCCTTCCCTCTCTCTCTCTCTCTCTGCTGTTCTCCATCAGTGGCCAGAATGATCATCCTGCTCCCCGCTCAAACCTCACCTCCTGGGTCTGCCTTCAGAGGTGCTGGCTCCTGCCTCTCCCACTTCTTAGCCCATATCCAGTCCCGCTGAATTCCTRGAGGTTTCTGGAATATTCCATGTCTTTCCTCCTCTGAGGCTCTGTAAGATCTGTTGCCTTGGCCCAGAATACCCTCCCCAGCAGCAGTGTTCACAGAGCTGGATTCCCTTCCTCGCAGCTCCAGCATCACCCCCGTAACATGCACCACAGTATCACTCTGCCTGCCCGCCTGAGGCCTCTTYTGTCAGCCTCCGACATCCTGGAGGTTGGGACTGGTACTTAACCCAGTATCTGGTCCTGTGCTTGGACCATCAAAGAGACCAATGCATGTTTGCTGATTGAATGAATGTGACAAAGGTTCTTCAAGAAGTTTCCTTCCTAGCTAGGGTGATGGTTCTTAGATCTGAATTTCCCTCTGAATCACCTGGAAAGCTTTAGGRAAAAAAAATGATGCCTAGGCTTCAGTCAGTTCTGACCAATGAAATCAGAATCTCTAGGACCATAGAGGCATGCTGATGTCATGTGATGTGTTGGTTTGAGCTCAGCCTTCCGTATTTGTACTGCTACAGAAGGTGGCAGTGATGACGTCAGACACGTTCTTCCTCATACTGGGGGAAATGGGCTAAAAGTATCYAATTCTATATCAGTGCTCACTTGAACATTGGGAAATCTGTTTAAGCTTTATGGAGTGGCTTCCATTTATAACAATCATAATAAAAGCACAACACTAAGTGCTTACATGACTTATCTCATTTAATCCTGATCTTAGTCTTCTGAGGTAGATTGTCTTCTTGTTTACATATGAGAAAATAAACTCAGAGAGGTTGATTGGCTTACCTGAGGTCACACAGTTCCAGAGCTGAGATTCAAACCCAAGCCTATTTGACTCCAAAGCCCYATAACCACTGGACTTTTATATCTCTAGCTACTCTCTGACAGACAGGAGTGAAACCCAGGAATTGCCTCTAAATTGAGCCAGGCCCTGAGCTGGTGGATGCGGGTGAAGGCTTTGTGGATAAAGGAGGACTTCGACCACCTGCAGCTCTTCCTCACTCCTGAGAACAGGGGGCTCCCTGCCCCTCCCCTTCCCTGGGCTGCTGGCCTGTATCCAGGTTTGGCCTTTTCCCTGATGTGAAGGCCCTGGACTTGGGCTCAGTAGCTGAGAATGAAGTATCCATCCATCTATTTCCTGAGAAGGCAACTCTGGGGCAAGAGAAGCTCTGGGTAAAGTACTTTTTAATTCCTGGAACATACTGATATTGGGTTATTATTTGTCACCTAAAGTCCCCATAAAGTATTGCATGCTGTGCAGAATCAGCTTAGCAACAATAGATGAGCTTGTGGCTATATCTGGGTCTTTCTAACAAGGCACAGCAGTTGGGAACAKGAGCCCTTTTCAACACGTCTACTGTTTAACAAGAGAAGGACCGGCCATACAGCCCCCTTTTCACATCTGAGTCCTCAAGAACCTGGGGATTCCCTCTGCTTCTTGGAAACCTTCCTGGGATCCAGCCACATTGGGAGGGCTGCCCTACCTCCCTGTCACCTTCCTCCTTTGATTCCTGTCCTAGAGTACTGGACTCGGGAGCCTTCAATTGTACTGCATGTCCTAACAGGACACAGTGGGAAGTGCTGTCTTTGTCTGTGGTCCATCTAAAAAATAAACCTCACATCTGGAACTCTCTGGAAGCCGTTTTAAAATTGGACACAGACAGATATACCTGTATTTTCCCCCACCGTTTTCTCTTGAATTCATTTTAACCCACATGATCCTAGAGAGGTATTACTAAGAACTAGCTTCGTTTCCTTTGGGATTTGGAGAATAATTTATGGTGTGTATCTTGTCTTTGAAAAAAACTGAATGCCTTCTCCCAGCCTCCTACAAGTGAGAAAGAGCTGTCCAGGCTCCATGGAATTCCCTCCAGCCCCCACTCAGAAATAATGCTGCAAGAGGTTTTTTTGTTTTTCTTTCTTTCTTTTTTTTTTTTTTTTAAAGCATTCTGTTACTGTCTTTCATGAACACTGAATAGTCCTCACTTGTTGACTGGTGTAAGTTGCCTGGGGATGACTGACAAAGTTTCTTCAAGAACGTATTGTATTCCCTACTATATGTGTGTATTGTATTCCCTACTACACCACACCAGACAGACCTCTCAAAAGGGCACTGATATTAAAACATCTGCAAATTAGGTCCTAGACACTTGCTTTTCTGTTAATTCTACMGGGTCAACCATGAAGGCCATATTTGTCTTTGGTATGTGTTCCCTTCCATGTTTGAGCTCCTTGGTGGGTGTTAAAAGAAACTGACTGGGTGGCCTTCTTTGGGCTCATCTTGTTCTGGTGGACTCTAGAAGTAGGTGGTCCTAGCAAGAATGTGGGGTGAGGGGAGTTGTATTTGAAGGGAATTGCTTGATSTTCTTCAAATGAAAGTTCTTAATTTCATATTGCAGTTATTAGAAGACAATTTTATATGGCCCCCCCCATACTTGTGCATGTTTTTTTTGAGCACAGACTGCTTTATATCAGACCATCTTTTCAAGAATATTTGAATGTGCAGCAGATAGCCTTGGAAGTTAGCAATAATGCTTCCTTCCAGATCAAAGTAATGGGTAGGTATCTTATTGCCCATTATAAAAGATTTGGGTTCCCTAAATTCAGAGTACCATCTGCGGGAAAACAACCCACTACATGTGCAGTTGTCATCTGTACTTCTTTGCAACACTTTATGGAAATTGGGACTTCAAAGAAATTAACATTAAAAATGGACTCCAAWMWCARAAWRRCCGTTCATTCTGTAATTCCAGCTACTTGGGAGACTGAATCAAGAGGATTGCAAGTTCAAGGACAGCCTTGGCAACTTAATGACCCTGTCTCAAAATAAAAATGGTTGGGCGTATAAAACACCCCTGGGTTTAATACCTGGTACCACACACACACACACACACACACACACAAAAAAAAAAAAAAAAAAAAACATACAAATTGATACTCAAAAGTGCTGTTACTCTGGCTACTGCTGTTTCTGAGAGTAATAAACTGTCCTTCCTTTGGATCCAGGGGTTTTGGGTCTTTTGCCAGCATCTATGAACTGTGGCACACCAATTTGTAAGCTAATAGTACAGTAAAATCTCAGACCCTAAACAAGTCTTAACAATGGTCCGTCTTCTAGGTCTCTTTCAATATGACGTGTATTATTCCTGTAATTAGTAGATACCTTGCTTAGCTTGATTAGTCATTTTCAACTACACAGCATCATATGTTTTCCTTTAAAGTGATTTCATGCCTAGAACTAGTTGGCCTGGGGTCAAAATTTACTTTCACAAAGGCACCTTCTTTCTCCCTCCTTGTTAGCAACACAAAGTAAACACTATCAGGGAAAGAGACACCGATAGACAAGAGACAATGTCTGAGGAATTTAGTAAAAGGACCTTTTACAGTGAGGTAGAGAAGACAAGCCAAGAGGAGTTCTTGCCTCAAATCTTCCTCTTTAATGTAAARAACAAAAAAATAGATCTATCATATGATCCAATTATCCCATTTCTTGGAATCTACCTAAAGGAAGTACAATCCACATGAAGAAACACATACAAACCCATGTTTATTGCATCACTGTTCACCATAGCTAAGACATGGTATCAGCCTAGATGCTCATCAAACAGATGAAGAGTTAAAGAAAATGTGATATGCATACACAATGGAGTATTATATTATTTAGCCATAAAGAAAAATGAAATCTTGTAATTTGTAGCAAATTATATGGAACTGGAAGGCATTATGTTAATAAAGTAGGCTAGACACAGAAAAACACACACCACATGTTCTCTCTCATATGTTAAAACATATTGACCTAAAAGCAGAATCGGATTCTACTAGGAATTGGGAAGGGCATGGATGGTGGTTAGATTTGATGAGGCATTCTTTTACATGGATGCAAATACCATACTGAATCCCATTGATATGTACAGTTAGTAAAGGTTAATAAATATGTATGTGTCTGAACTATATGAAGAGTATGTCATCACTTGCTCTTTTGAAGTTCCCAAACTCAACTCTAGGAGCAGTTTTGCAGTGTCATGGTCCACCCAGTGATTACTGAAACCAAAAATAGAAACTGAGCTCAGGGAAGATCTGGTTCTACCAGATTGGTTCTGTGAGGTCACTAAGTGGTCTATAAAGTGTAACCCAACCCACCCTCTGGATCACAAGTTGCTTGAAGGTAAGTGATTTGCTATTTTGTTTTCCATTGTTAGTAGCAGGAAATTTTTCCTTTGGTGCTGATTTGATATTTTGAAGGAATATCACTGACTTAAACCTCTCTGTTGGTAACTTATGGAGAAATGACAGATTATTTGTCCTTTTTAAAGTGTTTTTTTATAGCACTTAGGGCAGTACCTTGCCCTTTGGCCTGCAATCTCAAAATGGTAATAATACGTACAGTCAGCCTGTACTGTTGCTCCACATACAGCACCAGAACCTTAGCAAATCGGTTCTTCACTTAATTGGTAATGGGCAAGAATTCAAAGAAAACCTCTCAAATGGATCCAAAAAAAAAAAAAAAAAACCTAGCACAATTTCTTTTTCCTTAATCTTAATTTCTGTTTAAACATTTGTGTTCCTCTTAGAGCTGGGCCACCCTCCCCCTGTGTCTTCATGTTAGGAGTTCCTAAAGCCACAGTTCATGTGGGCCTGTGRGGTCCTCACAACCTCTACCACCATGTGGGTAACACTGCAGTCAGATGGAATTTACAGAGGGTGAGGGGGAGACAGATGGAGGCAGAGCCACACAGAGCAACTGAGACCATGAGCCAAAGACAGAGAGCCAGAAAGATTGACAGAGTGACAGAGAGACATGGATGTAGTAGGAGGAGAGGGCCCACGCTGACAATGGATCCTCAGGATGTCCATACCTAGAACAGGTGAAGAACCACAGCCACACCCACTTGGGTGTGCCGGGCATAGCTGGTGTCAAGCTACACCTCCTGTCCCGACCTCAGCCCCCACCCTGGTTGGATTTCCTGGACTCTCCTGCAGGTCTCCTCCCCAGATGGTCACTCTGCTGAGTTCCTTCCCAGGATGGCAACATCTCCCCCTAATGCTGGCTGAGGAAGAAGTACCACCTGTTTTACAGGGAAGCTTTGCCTGGTGTTGCAACAAGGTTTAGAGGAGAAATGATTGGTTATGGAAGCCTTCCCCCATTTGTGAATTAACCCCTGATGAGATTAACTGAGTGGTAACCAATGGTGGGTAGGGTGTGGCTGGAGGAGGTGGGTCATTGGCAGCGTGCCCTTGGGGTGTGTATTTGTATCTGGCCAGAGGAGTCTCTCTCTCTCTCTCTGCTTGCCAATCATCATGGGAACTGCTTCTTTCTCCACACTCTTCCGCCATGATGTTCTGCCTCACCCTGAATCCCAAGGAATGGAGCTGGCTGTCTATGAACTGAGATCTCTGAATCCGTGTGCCCTCAATTTAACTTTTCCTCCCCTAAAATTGTTCTTATTCAGTCTTTTAATCACAGCAGCAAAAAAAAAAGCTGACTAAAACACCTGGGTCCCTCCCCGGCTCAGGAGCACACACTGGCCGCTCAGGAGGGTTCCAGGTATCTCCTGCCTTTCTGCTTCCCATGATGCCTTCTGCCTTGGGGTTCTCGTGCTCACAGGCCCCCGGTGTAGATTCACCTCCAGCCTGCCTCCACAGCCAGCACCCTAACCTACTCCCAGATCCTTCCATTATCCTCATTGTGTTTAGGTTATCAGACCAATTAAGACAAATGAGTGAGCATTGGTGGACATTACACAACAAGGGATGCAAGGAAGTTGCACTTTGTCATCTTGTCCCTGGAAAAAAATGAGAACTGAAAGGGTAAGAACGATGCTGTGTCCCTTGACAAAACACTTCTCTTGTGTTCATTCTTTTGTTGTTTTATAACTGTGCAAAGAAACAAAGCTATTGCATTATATTTGAGCTGGGAATTAAAATTCTGCAAAATATTTTATACCTGCTAGGAGGAGGCGAGCCCTTCATTGCTCTTTTTGCTTATATTTTATCATGAGTCTCATTTAATCCAAAGCACCGCTCCTTAATTCATGATTTTTATGTGGAGGAAACCCTAAAGGTACTTCTGAGTGCCATTGTACAGAGAAAGTAGGTCACACGTTCAATGTTAGAAATAAACTGCCCTGGTGAAGTATTTGCTCAGCCGTCCACCACCTGAGATTAAGAATGACTCAATCGCATAATGAACCTTACAGAGCCATACTATTGATGAACCTCAGACCCTGAAGGCAGAAACTCTGTAATAGCTGAAATTCCCATTTTGTTGCCAGCAACAAATTTCAAATACTGTTCTCTCAATGATTATCCAGGGAAAACCAAGCATAAATGAAGGGGCTTTAAGATCATAACTCCCCCAAACCCATCACCTTCCTCTGAATCTCACTTTATACTAAGAATGTAATTCTTTCTGGGTTGTCAGTTTAGGGAAGTTCTTGGGGGTTATTCATTGGTCACTGGTAAGCACTAATGTCTGTTTTGGTTTGGAAAGAATGTTTTATGACTAATTGCTCAGCTGCATGTCGCATTGCCTGAGTTTGGAAGTCTCCTTGTTTTTCCACTCAAGGCTTTAGAAAAGCCTTCCTCAAGGAAGTGGATGAGCTTGGCCTCTGTATCACACTTCAGGTTTTTAAAACCACGCCATCCTCCCCACCCCATTTTAAATTATGGTCCTGAGGCCAAGCTACAGCACCATGGGTTTGGAAAGAAAAGGACACAAAAGCAGCAAATCCGCGTTGGATTTGTGGAGTTGGCAAGCACCTGCTCAGAGGAGGTTGGAGCAGCCACAGAGAGTCCCTTGCATGTCACTGGCCTTCCATGTTAGAGTGRGAGGTCCCATAGTCAATGTTTGTTCTCCTTCAACCAAACCTGCACATACTCCTGGGGGGTTGTAAGTCAATGATTCTTTATCAAATTCTTTATTGAGGGGAAGAGTCTGGGCATGCGGGCTGTGAAGGGCTAGTTAAAGGTGGGGGCAGAGAACCACTGTGGCTGTTGTTTGGATGTTGTGAGGCTGCTGACCAAATGCATTCTGCTTCCTCTTCTAGAGCCTGACAGTGTGAGCAGCAGCCGGCCTGAATGTACAAATAGCAGCCAAGCTGCCCAGTGACAGGGCAGTAGGTATGCAAACTGGAACCATATTTTTGGAAGGCAATTTGGAAATAAATATTAAAATATAACAAGCAAATACCCCTTGATCCAGTAGTTCTACCTCTARAAATGTACCTAATCCTTGTGCACATATACATGTAAAAGGGTTGTTATTATATTAGAGAAAAATGGGAACAACCCATGCCCAGCAATAGAACATTATGTGGTATCAACATGGGGAATGATGAAGAGAAAAAAAGAACTTACAGGAGCAGATTGAATGTTAACAAAATTTGAAAAATAGGGCAGCTTTGCCAAAGRTTGCCAAGCTATGGAGCGATGCCCCACCCATGTGCTCTGTGCTGGGGCCTCTGAACTACATGTACGTCCAGGCTGAGGGTGGTCATCAAGGGCTGGCTGGGTGTCTGGGCCACTGTGACTGTAGTGCATTTGACATGTTTCCAGTGGGACCTGAGGGAAGGGGCAGCCAGAGGWCTGGCCCACCCTCAGCCCTGCTGATTCACAGAGCAGCTGTGCAGACGGTGAAAGGGCARAACAAAGCACGAGCCAACTCCAGCAGGAAGGGCTGGGCAGGCCTCAGAAGGGCAGCAGGTACGTAGATCCATACAGGTAGTTGAAGAAGCTGGGGCTGGGTGGGCTCGGCCTCCTTAGGTGACCCACTGACAAGGGGGACAGGTTCTTTTCTCTTCATAATGATACAAAGCAGCTGTGTCCAGAATAGCCCAGAATGAGCCTTTTTTMTTTTAGTTTTGGAAAACCCCTGGCACTGTCCTCCAGCCACTGCCTTTTCTGCCTGTCCAGCAACCATGACTACCCACAGAATTCGTGAGGAATTGCTTTCCAAGCCCAACCACTTAAAACAGCTGTCAATCAGCAAACACAAGCAGAGACGACTGGCTCCCTCCTATTGAGTGYGCCCTGTGCCAGCTGCTGTGTAGTTGGCTGCATTGTCCAGAGACCCTCAAGTTACACCTGCCCCAGGAGGCCAAAGATATTCCCCTTAATATAGATAAGGACACTGATGCTTGGAGAGATTAAATATACTCATCCGTCTGCATCCACAGGGCATTCATTCTGGGACCTGCCTCCAAGGAGAACAAACTGAAGATATGCTCAAGTTTCTTATATGTGCACATAGGGTAATAATGTTCAATTCATTCTACTATTCTTCCTACCCCTATACCCACTTCCATCCTTCCACTTCCCTCTGTCTAATTCAAAGTATCTCTGTTCTTCCTTAGCCCCCCACCCTTATTGTGAATTAGCATCTGCATATCAGAGAGAACATTCTGCCTTTGGTTCTTTGGGATTGGCTCATTTCACTTAGCATTATATTTTTCAGCTCCATCCCTTTTCTGGCAAATACCATAATTTCAGTCTTGTTTAAGGCTAAGTAATATTCCAGTGTGTACCATATATTGTATTTTAATCATTTCTAGGTACTTACAATACTTGATACAATTTAAATGCTTTGAAAATGCTTGCTATTCAGTATTGTTTAGGGAATATGACAAGGAAAAAATTTATACATATTCAGTGCCGCAGTCTGGCTGGGCACAAAATAACAGAGCCACCACAAAAGCCTTATAGATTCAAACAGCAAATCTTTATTCCCGAACTCTCATGGGCCCTCTACACCCACGTTCTGGGAAAAATACACTCCCTCCACCGGGCTCTGCGTACCAATTCTCTCAGAACCCCGCGAGAACTCCACGGGAAGTCAAGGAGCAGGCGCCTGAGGCAGCTGGATACGCCCTGTTCCCAGCAGGATCCACCCTAAACCTGGAGCCACCCTAATCCCTGAGCAGGGTCACCTTTCAACCAAAAATGCCATGCGTCATTCCTACTTGGCTATGGCCCTCAGCAATTCAGTACAGACACAATTTAAAAAATATTGACAGAAGAATAAATCTAACATAATTTTTGTGTGTATACATATGAAAACATCCAGGTGAATCCCACCTTCGTGACCACACACAAAGACGGGTCCCAATTAGAATAAGATATATTCCATGCATGTATAATTGTATCAAAATGAATTCTACTGCTCCCTAGCTAGTTGAGTCCATGGGTGTGGAGCTCCCAGAACTGGAAGACCAGTTCTGTTCTGAGGTCAGGGGATGAGAAAGCTTCGRCTTCAAGGCAGGCAGTCTGTCTGCAAAGCTAACTCTGTCGAACCGTGTAGAGCAGTTACCTGCAATAGAGAAGCACGGGCGATTAYGTTGTATGGCTCCGTCTTGTGTTATGTGGATGCATTGAGGCAGGTCCAAGGTCACGTGCTGCAGACCTGTGAGTCCGGTACATTGATCTGGGTATTTCCTTCACCCTTCACAGAGTGCTTCATGCAATGTAAATATTGTAGGGAAAGGTCTTGCTCACAACAAGGCCTCGCAAGGGAACAGGGGTTTGTGTATATGGTCTCTGTTGTGATTTTTCTGTGGACCATGGGAGGCTGATGGAGAGGAAAGAATACTTGGGTCTGTTGGCACCCAGCCTGGTGTCTAGGCAAGTGATTTCACCTGTCTGGACTCAGATCTTCTTATCTGTAAACTCAGAAACAAATGTGCCGCAATGCTCCCACGGGGTAGAAAGTCTCACAGGAGCAATTAACAAGAAAAGCTTTGGCACAGTGTAAACATCTGCAGGCATAAGACGCGTGTTCATTAGCTTGGATGCTCCAGCAGTTGCAAAGACCTGGTGCCAGCCAACCCATCAACCCACCACCCTACCACTGCGTGGYTCCCAGTGCAGCCTGGCGTGTGCACCTTGCTTCCTTCATCTATAAAATGGAACGCCAACAGGACGATCGTGCATGTACCAGAGGGTCCTTGGCTTGGGATGGGGTACGTCCCTGTAAGACCATAGTAAACTGAAGTGTCATAAGTCAAAAATTCAATACACGCTACCCAACACCATTATTGGCCAATTCACCTTAAAAATGTTCAGAACGCGTCCATTAGCTTTTGGTGGACAAAATCATCGAACACAAAGCCCATCTTCTGATAAAAGTGTCGAATACCTCCTGTAACTTTTAAAGATGTGACGGGATGTGAAAACCAAACATAAATATCCCCCAAATTGCCGACAGCACAGTCTTCCGTGGAGTCTTGCTTGTTTCCCCTCGTGATGGGGCTATGGCTGCAGCTGCTGCTGCCCAGGGAAAGATCCAAATCCAAAATTCAAAGTCTGATTTCTACTAAATACCTATCACTTTCACACCATTGTGAGGTTGAAAAATKGAAAAATTCCAGGTAGAACCATCACAGGTTGGGGACCACACGTACAGCATTTATACACAGAGAGCACCTTGCCACACCTCTGTTGCCAGTCTCCTGTGAGCAGGAAGACCCTGCMTGGACCCTTACACGGATACTTGATTATTAAAAGCAATGACCACCCAAAGCCCTTGCTTCTTCTCCTCTGACTTCCTCCTGGGACTGTGCCCATCATTCATCTGATTCTGCTCAGCCACGGTGGGGAACAGGGGTTTTCAGTGAAGCTGGCTGCTCCCCTGGTCTGCCAGGCTATGATTTGATGTTTCTAGAAGCAGAGCTGGAGCACCTGACCTTCAGGTCTCTACCTCAGAATGCTCTAGCTCTCTTGGAGAACCGGGAAGAGAGAGAGAGAGAGAGGGAGAGGGAGAGGGGGATGGGGGAAGGGGGGGGGGAGGGACGACAGGAGGGACAAGGAAGGAAGGAAGGTGGATTTTAAAAAGTCTCTATTATCTCTGTGTTACGCTTTGTCCTTTTTAATACTGAAATGTGTTTGTTTCACTTCTCCCTCTTGATATTGTATTTGGCCCGGGGGTGGAGATAGCCTTTGAGAAAGAATCCTAAATCCAACAGCCATCCCAGAGGCCAAATTACAGATGGGAAAATAGCCCTCAATATCTAAGATTCGAAGAACAAGAAACTTACAAATGAGGCGTGCACGTTTCCTGAGCGTTTCTCAGGGCCAGTGTTTTTTAAATCAGGACAAGGTTATGGAAGATCATCTTTAATTAAACCTGCAGTCAGTCCCTGCGGGGAGTTTGTGCTGTGTTCACCTCTTGAATTATGTACTCCAATTAGCAGAATCTCTCCTCCTGGCCTGCAGGCTCTATGTGCAGCGCTCACCATTGTCTGGTAGCTGTGATCCGTTTGAGCCTCTCTGGAAGCATCTGCTGTGCAGCTTCTCCCCTGCGGTCTCAGGTTGCATCCTTTTCTTTCCCCGCGTGTCTTTGTTGAGAACGCTGCTGAGGGCAGGCCCACTCTCTCTTAAACCACCAGGCCTGCTGGTCACCACCCCGTCAGCTATCCCACCTTGCCCCATGTCTACATCTGCCTATAGTGTTTTAATAAAGATGTTGGCCAGCATTCCCTGCTATAGGTTAGTCCGTTTTCCATTGCTGCCACAAAATATCTGGGAAAATCAACTCAAAGGAGGAATGGTCTATCCTGGCTCTGGGTTTCAGCATTCCATGGTCACMTGGCCTGGAAGCTTTGGGCCTGCGGTAGTGACTCAGTATACAGCATGACAGTGGGGGCACATAGTGGAGGAGATCTGTTCACTGTGTGACAGCCGGGGGTGGGAGGAGCAGGGTCCCCATGTCCCCTTCAAGGCCACACCCCCAGTGACTTCTCTTACCTCCACTAGGCCCCACCTCCTAAACGGTCCACCACCTCYCAATTGGCACCATAAGTTGATGACCAAGGCGTTAGCTCACGGGCCTTTTGAGGACATTTAAGATCCAAAYCATAGCATGCTGCTGAGAGAAGCTTCTGGAAGCGATGTTCCTTCTTTCAGCTAAAAGAACTGAAATATAAAGGGCCTTCTAGGAAAAAAGGTTGAGGCAAGTTCTTGGTCTAGCATCTCCCTACTATTCCTTCTCCCTAAACTGATTGATAAAAGCCAGTTGATTTAAAAAAAAAACTTTATCACTCAATAAATTGATCACTAGAAAAGGCACAGAAGGGCTGGGGCTGTAGCTCAGTGGTAGAGCACTGGCCTAGCACATGTGAGGCACTGCTTTCAATCTTCAGCACCACATAAAGTAAATAAAATAAAGGTATTGTGTCCATCTACAACTAAAAATATTATTTTTTWAAAAAAAAGGCACAAGAAAATGTGAAGCTTCTTTCATGTGATCCACATATGACCCTAAAAGACTTTGGTTTCCTGGAATTAAGAGCTAAAAATTAC